AGAGGAAGAGGGAGATTGAATCATTGCATGTTACCCTGTTGTTATTGAGAACTCCATGACTCTACCAACTTATGTTCCCCAAATAGGCCAAAAACTGGTGCTCAAATGCCCAGACTGTAGTCACATTTCTCATGCATACTACCACAGCGGTTTTATTAACCTTATCTCAGGCCTTTTGAGCACTTGGTTTTCAGTAGCTAGTGCTGCTGGGAAAATTGTAGAAGCCACAGAGGTGAAGCTTTCTAGGAGTAAGTCACTGGTGCATAGAGAACTTCTAATGTAATGTCAGGAGACACCTAACAACACAGCTGTATAAGGAACAAGATGTTCCCAGAGCCATAGATTCTAGGTATGTTGAAACCGTAGTGCAAAAAAAACATTCCTCTCCAGTATTCAGCCTTAAGAGGGCCTTGACCATAGCCATGGTAAAAATAACAAGTGCTCTCTTATGGTAGAGAAGCTGAGAATAAGCAATCTGGCAAGTCATGATTGGCTGGTTGGTTATGGTGAAAATGCAGAGAGGCAGTATGAAGAATACTAGATACTAGTCCATAAGGGGCAATGCCTGCAGCGGAGCCTTTTGCTAGGTGTTGTGGTCAAACCTGAGAGATTAGAGAAGCACAAAGTTGCCACCCTCTTTCTGACTGCTAGCAAATTCTCAGCCAAAGAGAGAGCTACTTCCTGTATATTCACGCCTACATGCCTTTCTGTGATCTGCCACCTTACTTCCTCACTCCTCCCAGCTACATCACTTCCTCTTTCCACACAGCTCTATCACTTCCTGTCTGTCTGTACAGACCTCCAGACCTCTTTGGTTAACTAGCACTGGGATGAAAGGCATGAGTCACCACACATGGCTCTTTTCCTGGTGTGGATTGAACTCACAGAGATCCAGATGATTCTCTGCCTCCTGAATGCTAGGATTAAAGGCTTGTACTGCCACTCCCTGAGCTCTATGTTTATTATTTTGGCTGACTTTTTCCTCTGATCCTCAGATAAGCTTTATTGAATTGCACAAATAAAATATCACCAGAGTTCTAAGACTGATCAACTCTGGTGCCACCAGGGCACAGATCCAGAGCTTTGAGTCCATCAACCCCAACAATTACTCCATCTACAAGTTGCTGGAGCACAAGGAGCAGCAGGTTTTGCAGAACCAGTTGTCAACCCTAAATAGTTCAGGTCCTAGATGCACCTGTCGGACCCTAACTTGGGGCTGATGTGCTGTAGCAGCACTGCTTACCCTGCTGGGAGACACATCTGGTAATGGTGTGGGGTGGGACAGTACAGTGGCACTTTCTGCTTGCTACAAGCATAAAGGGGAGCCTTGCAAGCCATGTGGAGGCCACGATCAAGGAAAGAGAGGTGGGCAGCAGCCTGAAATTCACAAGGAACTTTCCATTCTCCACTTCCTACCTCAAAATCCTACCTAATTACAAACTACCCTGACTATAGGCAACATCAGGATATCTGATATGAGTCCCACTGCTGGTGCAGTGTTTATGGTCCAAAAGAAAACAGGGAATACCAGGTGGTGGTGGCCCTGGGCTTTAATCCTATCATTCTCAAGTCAGAGACAGGAAGATTTCTGTGCAGTTCATGGCCAACCTGGTTTCCAAATGGAAATCTAGGATAACCAGAGCTGTTACTCAGAGAAACCTTCTCTCAAATAAACAAACCAAGAAAGAAGAGAAAAAAACAACATCAAACAAACTGGACCAATGACTACTGTAATCCAATTTTGCATGTAATGCTGACTGGGAACAATAATATACTGTGTGACACACTGCAGTTCTGAGAGGGAAGCTA